GAGTAGGGTTTCCAAGGCTGTAAATCCTTAGGGAAACAGACTGCCACATCCTTCTCCTACGGAGTGGCTAGTGGTTTCAAACTGCCAGCCTTTTGGTTAAGAGCCAAAAGCTTTAACCATTGTGCCTCCAGGGCTTCTATCCTCATACCAACCCTACAAAATAGATTACCTTTATCATGTAGTATGGATACTGATGCTCATGCAAAATAGATATTATCCTCATCAAAGAGATGAGAATACCGATGTTCAGAGAGGTTAAGTGACTTACCCAAGATCACACAGCTCAAGAGTGGCATAGTCAGGATCTACTCAGGTCTGACTGACTCCAAAGCCCCCGCTCCTCCCACTGGGCAGTAAACCTCTCGTTTACTCAGTCAAAGCCCTGTGACCCACCAGACTCTGGGTCCAGTCTGGGGTCTACTCATGCTGCCACCTCCTTAGTGCCAACAATGGTTCAGACCTCGTGGCCAGTGAATCCAGCAGGAAGGGATTAAGTATGGAGACATGTTGTTCTTGTTGTTAGGTGCCGTCGAGTCATCTCCGACTTGGTTACCCTATGCACAACAGAACAAAACAGCGCCCTGTCCGTGCCAGCTCCATGATCCTTGCTATACTTAAGCATCATCACAGCCACTGTGTCAATCCATCTCATTGAGGGCCTTCTCCTCTTGCATTGACCTCCACCTTACTTAGCATAACATCCTTCTCCAGGGAATGGTCCCTTCTGACAACATGACCAAAATAGGTGAGACGAAGTCTGGCCATTTTCGCTTCCAAGGAGCATTCCGGCTACACTTCCTCCAGGACAGATCTGTTAGTTCTTTTAGCACTCCACAGTATCCTCAGCACTCTTCACCAGCACCACAACTCAAAAGCATCAATTCTCCTTCAGTTTTCCTTACTCATTGTCCAGCTGTCACATGCATACAAGGCAATTGAAAATATCATGGCTTGTGTCAGGCACATCTTAGTCCTCAAGGAGACATCCTTGGTCCTCAGCACTTGAAAGAGGTCCCTTGCAGCCGACTTGCCCAGTGCCGTATGTCACTAATGTCTTGACTGCTGCTTCCATTGGCATTGATCATAGAACCAAGCAATGTGAAGTCTTTGACAACTTCAATCTTTTCTCCATTTTGTGTGATGCTGCTTATAGGTGCAATTGTGAGGACTTTTGTTTTCTTTATATTGAGATGTAATCCATACTGCAGACTGTATTCTTCAGTCTTCATCAGTAAGTGCCTAAAGTCATCCTCACTTTCAACAAGCAAAGTTGTGTTATCAGCATATTACAGGCTGTTAATGATTCTTCCTCCAATCTTGATGCCACATTCTTCTTCATATAGTCCAGCTTCTTGGATTATTTGCTTGGCATACAGATTGAATAAGTATGGGGAAAGGATACAACCCTAATGCATTCCCTTCTTGATTTTAGACCATGCAGTGTCCCTTTGTTCTATTCGAACAACAGCCTCCTGGTCAATGTACAGGTTCCTCATGAGCACAATCAGGTGTTCTGGAATTCTCATTCTTTTCAATGTCATCCACAATTTGTTATGATCTACACAATCAAATGCCTTTGCATAGTCAATAAAATACAAGTAAACATCTTTCTGGTATTCTTTGCTTTGAACCAGGATCCATCTGACAGCAGCTCTGATAGCCCTTGTTCCACGTCCTCTTCTGAATCTGGCTTGGACCTCTGGAATTTCTCTGTCAATATACTGCTGCAACCATTTTTTAATTACCTTCAGCAAGATCTTACTTATGTGAGATATTAATAATATTGTTTGATAATTTCCACATTCTGTGGGATCACTTTTCTTTGGAATGGGTACAAATATGGATCTCTTTCAGTCAATTGGCCAGGTAGCTGTTTTCCAAATCTCTTGGCATAACCGAGTGAGTGCCTCCAGTGGGACATCTATCTGTTGAAACATCTCAATGGGTAGTCCATCACCAATTCCCTCAGTGCAGCTTCAACTTCTTCCCTCAGTACCATTGGTTCTTGATCATATGCCACCTCCTGAAATGGATGAACATTGACCAGTTCTTTTTGGTATAGTGACTCTGTGTATTTCCTCCATCTTATTTTGATGTTTCCTGCATCGTTCAATATTATGCCCATAGAATCTTTCAATATTGCAACTATGGGCTTAAATTTTTTCCTCAGTTCTTTCAGCTTGAGAAATGCCAAGCATGTTCTTCCCTTTTGTTTTCTTACTCCAGGTCTTTGCACATTTCGTTATAGTAATTGGCTTTTTCTGCTTGAGCTGCTCTTTGAAATCTTCTGTTCAGCTCTTTTATCTTGTCATTTCTTCCATTTGCTTTAGCTATTCTCCACTCAAGGACAAGTTTCAGAGTCTCTTCTGTCATTCATTTTGGTCTTTTCTTCTTTTCTCATCTTTTTAGTGACCTCTTGCTTTCTTTGTGGATGATGTTCTTGATGTCATCCCACAATTCTGGTTTTCAGTCATTGGTGTTCAATGCATCAGATCTATTCTTTAGATGGTCTCTAAATTTGGGAGCGATATATTCAAGATCATATTTTGACTCTCATGGACTTGTTTTAATTGTCATCAAGTTGAACTTGCATATGAACAGTTGATGGTCTGTTCCACAATCAGCTCCTGGCCTGTTTTTGGCTGAAGATATTGAGCTTTTCTATTGCCTCTTACCACAGATGTAATCAGTCTGATTCCTGTGTATTCCATCTGGCAAAGTCCACGTGTACAGTCACCATTTTTGTTGTTGAAAAAAGGTATTTGCAATGAATAAGTAGTTGGTCTTGCAAAATTCTGTCATGCAATTTCCAGCATCATTTCTGTCACCAAGGCCAAATTTTCCACCTACTGGTGATTCTTCTTTGTTTCCAACTTTTACATTTCAGTCACCAGTGATAATTAACACATCCTGATTGCATGTTCGGTCAATTTCAGACTGCAGAAGCTGATAAAAATCTTCAATTTCCTTATCTTTGGCTTTGGTGGTTGGGGCATAAATTTAAATAATAGTGATATTAATGGGTCTTCCTTGTAGGTGTATGGATATTGTCCTATCACTGACAGCAGTGTACTTCAAGACAGATCTTGAAACATCCTTTGTGATGATGAATGCCATGCCATTCCTCTTCAAATTGTCATTCCTGGCATAGTAGATCATATGGTGGTCTGATTCAAAATGGCCAAAACCAGTCCATTTCAGCTCACTAATTACTAGGATATCAATCTTTATGTGCTCCGTTTCATTTTTGACAACTTACAACTTTCCTAGATTCATGCTTCGTAGATTCCATGTTCTGATTATTAATGGATGTTTGCAGCTGTTTCTCCTCAATTTGAGTGGTGCCACATCAGCAAATGGAGGTCTCAAAAGCTTTACCCATATCATTAAGGCTGATTCTACTCTGATGATGCAGCTCTTTCCTGGTCCTATTTTGAGAGCCTTCCAACCTAAGTGGCTTATCATCCTACACTGTATTGGACAGTGTTTCCAGGCTATTCATAAAGCTGCACAGTAATGTATCAGACAGTGTTTCTCTGCTATTCATAAGGTTTTCCCTGGCCAATTCTTTGAGAAGTGGATGGCCTCCTCCTTCCTAGTCTGTCTTGGTCTGTAAGCTGTTGAAACCTATGCACCACGTGCAACCCTACTGGGTTTGAGACACTGGTGGCACAGCCCCAAGCCTCACAGCAACACACCACCACAGTAGGACTAACAGACAAGTTTGTCTCCCTTAGCCATTCAAAACCTCTCCACCCTCCCCACTTTCCCGCTGCTTGAGAGGGGTGTGGCCTGGATCCCCAGCCTTACCTGGATCCCTGTCTCTGCTTCTTCACTCTGTCCTGGTCCCCCTTCCCTGGCTTTTTCTCTGCTTTCCCCGGCTTACCTGCAGCTTAGTAGGACGTTGGCCTGGGTCCCCAGCCTTACCTGGATCCCTGCCTCTGCTTCCTCACTCTGTCCTGCCCACCCACCGGCTTTTTCTCTGCTATCCCCAGCTTTCCCACCACTTGGGAGGGCCATGGCCTGGGTCCTCATTCTTACCTGGATCCCTGCCTCTGCTTCTTCGCTCTGTATGGAGACAACATACAATAGAGCAAAGGGCAGGCCATGGAGCTGTGGCTAGCAAGGTGAGGGGAGGGAACATTGTCTAGGAGTTAGTAGACTGGGGTCCTGGCCTTGACTCAGCTCCTGACCTGCCATGGGACCTTGAGCAAGTCCCCACTGTGTTGTGCCTATCACAACCCTGGAGATATAATAGATGATCAATAGATTTGACTGATGGTTAACTGATTTATTAGAGAGGGAGGCAGGATATTCTCTCTTGTTCTCTGATTTTGCCATGTAAAAGAGCAGTGTGATTTGACAGGGGCTGTCAAGGAGACAGAAAATAGAAAATAATTTAAAAACAAAACAAACAAACAAAAAACAGAAAAAACAAACCCACTGCCACGGAGTAGATTCTAAATCATAGAGTCCTCCATTGTATTTCCAAGGCTGTAAATCTTTCCAGAAGTAGATTGCCTCATCTTCCTCCTGCAGAGCAGCTGGTGGGTTTGAACCACCAACCTTCTGGTTAGCAGCCAAATGCCTTACCCACTACACCAGCAGAGCTCCTTAGAAAATAATCAGGAGGAAGAAAAGGAGGCAGGTAAGGAAGGTGGGTGAGGAACAGAAGGGAAGGCAGGAAAGATGTCAATATTCACTAGAACAATGGGGATAATGGTGGTTTAGGTGGAGGAACAAGGAGATATGGACTATTGAACACTCTGTGGACATTTCTTCTTTGTTTCAGAATTTTCTGGAAAAGAGACCTAGAGATCACAGCCCCACTCCTTCTCAGCCCAGACCGCAGTGTTATAGCCCAGGGACAGTAGGATTTAGAGAAGGGGCAGAACTGGTCCCTGGGGACAGACACTGCCTACTACCTAAGCCCACTGACAACAGGGACTGTTCCTCCCACACACATCCCCACCCCCAAGTTCTTCCCTTTCTTTCTTCAGGCTGCTCCAGCAGGGAGTGTATCTCCATGGAAACCTTTGAAGAGTGCGAAGTTGTGGAAGAAATGGAAAAGGAGAGCAGTGCTCTGAGTGTAATTTTTTTCCTTCTTAGTACTTTCATATTCTCATTTTCGTATTCCTATTCATAAGCTCCTCCTGCTTCATCTTCCTCTCCCCCTTTCATAATTCCCCTTTCCCTCTTTTTTGTAATTCTCACCCATAAGGACCTATCACAATCCAGGAAGCTGAGGTCACTGGATATTCAAAGTGGATCTAGATCCTCCCAGCCCAGCATTCTTCATGTCACCCGTTTCCTTAGCAACGTGTTGGTTTGGTGTTATGACGAAGGGGCTCCTGCTGGGAGCCCTGAGTGATCCTGGGGGGAGCTGGGTGAACATCAGGCATGCTGCTTCCCACCGTCCACAGGAGGGGAAGACCCTGTGGGTCTTAAAGGGCCAGGGCACTCCTCACCCTGGTGACTCCAGCTGTGTGCCTTGTCCCCCCACCCTTCCAGCTCTCAGGACTTTTCCACTTGGATGACAGTTATGAAACCTGCTCCTCTAAATCTGTTCTGGAGATGGGAGAAAGCATCCAGGGAGAAAAAGAAGAGCCCAAAGAGGAAGAAAGGTGAGTGTGGACCAGGAAAGAAAAGTGAATTCATTACCCATTGCTTCTCTGATTTTCTTCTTGGGATTTCAGGGCAGCAAACATAACTGAAGAGAGCGATGGGCTGTCCAGTGGCCCGAACGCCCTAGAGGACGCCTGAGGACCTCTTCCCCGAGAACTGACACTCCCTCCACATGACCTCCTATCAGTGGGCAGTTGGCTTTGCAGAGCTGTCCCACAGCCATCTTCACTGGAAGAGAAGCTGCAGTGGGTGCCGAGCCCGCAGCCGATCCTTAAGTAGAAAGCAACCAAGGGCCCCGTGCCTGCAGATCTGCCAATGCCGACAAGGAGACTGAGGAACCTCCGGGTGTAGCACCCACCTCCCCCTGAGGTCACTTCTCCTGACCCTGCCTACAGAGGCATGGGAAGTCCAGCTTGAAAGGCTCAGCCCAGGGCTTCTCAGTACTGGCACAATTGTTTTATAAGTTCGCATTTGGGGATGGATGAGTCTTTGTCATGAGGCTGTCATGTGCATTGTAGATGTTTAACAGCACCCCTGTCCTCTACTCACTAGATGCCAGTAGCATCACAACACCCCCCAGTTGTGACAACCAGAAAGTCTTCAGACATTGCCAACGTTCTCCTGGGAGCAAAATCAGTTGAGAACCAGTCAGCTCAAGCCTTGGAGGAGCTGGAGCCCACCCACAGGTGACAAGGGTGGTAGGCAAGGAGCTCTGTGCACTGTCTATCCAAGTCCGAGAGACACTGCTGATGAGCGTTTCAGTTACTTGGTGCCGAGAATGTTTCGCTTCAGAGAGCATTGGTTTCCAAGTTAACTTCTGAAATATTTACTTTTATATTTAGTACTTTTAAAAAATGTCTTAGAGTTATTTCAGTTCTTTGCTTTTTTGTTTTAAATTTTACTAATTTTTAATTAATTTGTATTTATTTTGAGTGTTCATTTTATAGCTTTAAAGTTCCAGCTTTCAGTTATTTTATTTTCAAGGTTATTTAGTTTAAAGTTGTTCATTTTCATTTCATTTGTTTTAAGAATTATATATCTTCAGATTAATTAGCTTTGGAATTATTTATAAAAATATGAATAACAGTATTTATTGTCAATTTCTATTTTTAGTTTCTGAAGTTTTTGAGTTATGTATTTTTACAGTTACTTACTATTAAAAACTGGCTGGAATTTTTTGAATGATTTAATTTTAGAGTTATTTTCAGAGTGAAAGAACTTTAGTTATTTTTAGGAGGGTTTTTTAGGTATTTAAGGAGCTCTGGTGGGTAGTGACTAAGGCATTTGGCTGCTAACCAGAAGGTCGACAGTTCAAACTCACCAGCTGCTCCACGGGAGGCAGATGAGGCAATCTACTTCCATAAAGATTATAGCCTTTGAAACCTAGTGGAGGTCACTGTGAGTCAGAATTGATATGATGGCAGTGGGTTTGGTTTTGGTTGGTTTTTTTAGAGTTACTTGTGGTCGCAATCATTTTTAGTTAATTAAGATTCTGAGTTGTGTATTTTTGCATTCATTTATTATTTGTGTTTTTAATTATTTCAGAGTTATTTAGATTTTTGAGCTTTATATTCTGCTAACTTTATTTTCAGAATTTTTTAGATATTTAATATTTGAGTTATTTTCAGTTACTTATTCTCAGATATTTCTTTCCAGCTATATCTGCCATTTAAATATCTTCTGTTCTGTAGTTTTACTTATTTCATTTTCAGACTTATTTTATTTTCAGAATTCTTTAGTGCTAAAATTACTTAGTGTATCAGTCAGGGTCCAATCAAGAGAAAGACATCATACCAGTTATTTTAGCAGAGAGAATTTAATATAAAGAAACTGCTATCTAGCAATCAGAGAATTAAAAAGAGGGAATAATGATGCAGCATGGTGATTTTAACTGCAGGAAGCAGCTACCACCCCAAGGACTGAGGGAACAAAGGGAAGAGGTTGGAAAAAATCAAAACTGAGAAGCTTGGAGCTGGCCCTACATGGCTGGGAACCACCTCTGAGGAGGGGCACTGCCCAACTGATACAGGCACCTCCAGAGCTTGGCAAAGGGGCTCCTGGAACTGGATGCAGAACTCAGAGGAAGATCCTGTTGGTGCTGATTTCTCTGAAGGGTCACCATAAGGCCAGTTATGGGCATGTTTGGGGGAAATAGCAAACTGCAGCTTCTGGAACCAACTCTCCCTATCAAGATAAAGACCGGTTGCCAGGGGGCAAATGGTGTAGAGACTCCCAGTCCCTGACCACAAAGCAGAGAACAGAGGATGGGTTTGAAACTCAAAAATAATAGCTTAATAATGGTTTAATAACCAGCAGACTTAGCTTTGGAGTTTTTCAGTTTTATAATTTGTTCTAGAGTTTGCTTTTGTTTTTTTTTTTAGTTTTTATTGTGATTTGGGTGAAAGTTTACAGAGCACTAGAGTTAGTTTTGAATTCAGTTAGTTTTGGATTGTTGATTTGCTGTTAACTTTTCACTGGACAGAGGATCTGATTGAGTCCCCTGAATTTGGAGGAGTTGGTCAACAAACAACACCTGAAAGAAGTCTCTCCCATGAGACTTAAAAAAATAACTTTAGAATTCAAAAAACAAAAGTCATGTGTCTTACTCTGTTCCTAAAGAAGCCTTTGACTGAGGAAGAAACTAAGAGACAGACAATCAGGGAAGGTGACTTGGCATAATTGTCCAGTAGAGTGACCTTTGAAATTTTTCAGAAAATTAAGCTACGTTGTGGGGCCACCCTCTCTCGCTTTCTTTCCTAATAACAAAGTATCTTTCCTTGTTAGAGTGTTCCAAATTTGTAGACAATAGTTACTCTTTGTACAGTAAAATAAAGTTCTTCCTAAATCTATAGGAAAACATGTGCTCGTCTACCTGCATTATTTTCTAACTCACATTATTCCAATTTGAGCATAAGGACGTTTGTTTGTTTGTTTGTTTATGTATATCTTTTCTTATTTCATTCAACACTGTTTTCTGAGCATCCCTTTCCTAAGGAAGGTGCTGGTTGGTTCCAGGTGAGACCTAGGAGGCATGAAGATGAATAAAAATCTCTAGTTCCAGTTGAGAGAGACAGACAGACAGATAACCACATATAGTGTGACAAATTCTATGGGAGCACAGAATATTGTCACTGGCTCTTCCTGATGTAGCCAGGGAAAGGATGACATATGAGATGGGTCTCAGTGTAAGTAAGTAAGTAGAGTAAGCAGTTTCCAGGTGGAAAAGAAGGGCATTCTAGGCTGAGGGAACAGCGCATGCAAAGGCACAGAGGCATGAAGGCACAATGCGCGATGGAGGAGGATGAGTTGTCAAAGGCTGCTGGGTCCGAGGTTTAGAAATGCACTAGGTTAATTAAGGGCTGGCCATGGAGCTTTACAGACGCTGCCTTATTTGGTCCCTACAGCAAGTCCACAAGATAGTAGGAAGCATCTTCATTCTTGATCTTACAGTTTAGAAGGCCCTCTGACTGGACATTTCTGGAAATCTTCAGCTCATTCCTGGCTTTATCCTTTTCCCATCCCTATTTTCACTAGTTCATTCACTCACTCACTTACTTTTGGAAGTGAGTCCCTTCTCTACCTTTTGATCCCTGCTGCTTAACCATCTGTAGAGAAGGAGGAGTGTTGAAGCCAGCCGGCTGTGAAGAGATAGATGAAGTTGAACCACGCAGGGAGGTGGAGAAGAGAAGGGCTGAAGAGATCTTCTGTGGAGAACCTGGTAGGGAAGTTCTATGGGCACCACAGTGGGTGGTAGAGACATGGATCTTAGCATAACATTTATGACTTTCAACTGCTTCAGCAACCTTTGTGCTGACAGCCAAATGGGGATACCCATTAGAATCTACTAAATCCAACTCAGGTTTGTGAATTCAACAGATCGGGGGTCTTAAAAGCACACAGAGGCCTGTGCCGCATCAATAGCATTGGAGGGCATGTCAAGTCCAGAGAAAGTATATGCTATACAATCTATGATGGCATACCAAACCAAAACCAAACTCACTGCTGTTGAGTAGGATATGACTCACAGCGACCCCTCCTTGGGTTTCCAAGGCAGTATCTCTATGGAAGTAGATTGCCCAATCTTCCTTCCGAGGAGTGGCTGGTGGGTTTGAACCATCAGCCTTCTGGTTAGCAGTCAAATGCCTTAGCCACTATGCTATCAGAGCGCCCACAGAAAAATCAGCTTCACACTTTTTATAATACACATTCATACATTCAAGCTTGAGTTTATAGGTAAACATGCACACATACCTGAAGGCATCAAAAATTCCTCACCAGACTTCTCTGCTTTTGTCTCCCTGACTATCTTAACAATCACAATGGGTATAATTTGCTTTGAGAATATGTAAAGACTATTAATGGATTTGGTAGAATTCTCATCTTCCATGTGAGAGATCTGGGTTCAACTCCAGCCAATATATCTCCTGCTAAGCCACCATCCATCAGTCGGTGGAAGCATGAATGCTGCTGTGATGCTGAACAGGTTTCAGCAGGGCTTCCACAGTAAGATGGACTAGACAGAAAGCCCAGAGATCTACTTCTGAACATCAGCCAATAAAAACCCTGTAGACTCCAGCAGTCCAGTCCCCAGCCCATCATGGGGATGGCACAGGACCTGACAGCACTTCATTCTGTTGTGCACAGGATTGCCATGATTTGGGACCCACTTGACTACAGGTAACAGTAACATTAAGGGACGCGTGTCTTAGCTGGAAAAAAGAATCTTCAGGATTCCATTAGCTGCAGGAAACACATCATTTGGATCCTCTTAAATATTTTTGAGGGAGATCTGGTGGCTATGAATTGAGTCCAATTCAACAGCACAAAACAGCAACAACAACAACCAAAACCAAACTCACTGTGGTGGAGTTGGATCCAACTCATAGCGACCCCTCCTTGGGCTTCAGAGGTGGTATCACTACTGAAGTAGATTGTCCCATCTTCCTTCTGAGGAGTGGCTGGTGAGTTTGAACCACCAGCCTTCTTGTTAGCAGTCAAAATGCCTTAGGCACTACACCACCAGTAATCAAATACTGCTATGACAAAAACTGGTATACTGATACTGGTATAATAATAGACACATAGACCAATGGAATAAAATTGAGAATTCAGAAATAAAACCACATATTTATGATTAA